TATTTGTTTCAAAGTTACAGGCCTTTGAATTACACAGGTCCACAAAAAAAAGTGGTCTGTGCTGGGTGTTGGACAAAGATTTTTCGACGTATTTTTTACCGCTTGTCGAACACCCAGCACAGACCACTTTTTTTGTGGACCTGTGTCTACAAAAAAAAAGGTCTGGTCAAACTGCAAAAAACGAAGAAAAATTAAAAAAAAAAACCGATAAAATCCATTATCTAATATCGGTTATTTTAATTTTTCTCCGTTTTTTGCAGTTTGACCCCCAATTTTGACTTAAGATTCGTGTTCAGCGGTAAAAAATACGTCGGAAAATCTTTGTCGAACACCCAGCACAGACCACTTTTTTTTGTGGACCTGTGTAATTCAAAGGCCTGTAACTTTGAAACAAATAAAAATTGATATACAAGTTTTGCGGGTTTTCCTCCTGAAAATAAGTCTACTTTATGCTCTCAAAATTTGAACATAACGATACGGGACACCTTGTATAAGCATTTAAGCGTTGAGTTTCTTAATCAATGATATAAGGAATAATCAATCGAAATCGAGTACTAAAAAAGTTTTTTAATTTTTCCTTGCAACGTAAAACACACATAACGTGCGCGATTTAACTGTGTAATTGAACATAATTTGTCGAGTAAGACTTCTGCCGTACTCTCTTTTGTAAAAAAAACTACCTATTTATTTAAAAATGATGTATAATCGGTGCTTTAAATTTTTTGTTCACGCAATGCATTCGAAGTCCACCAGATGGCGCGCGCGTTGCGAAAACCCGATACTTCTTTAGCGTATATAGAAAGACTTCATATTAATACTATATAGTTCAAAGTCATATTATTTTTAAACTTTGTTCAAAAAGAGAGCTAGAATGTCACCATGTCAGTTGAACCTAACCTTAAAATAAGGTTTTAAAATCTCAAAGAAATATTCTAATTAAATGCTTGAAAAAAATAGCCTCGGCAGTGAAATGTATGCTCGGCTATAATATGTCTGTTCTTCGCCGGGTTTATCATGTTATAATATTTATTAGGTTATAAATGTCACCATTGAGTTTTTAGTTAGACATTTAAATACATTAGCTAAAATATTGCGTTTCATCTTAAATTAGGTATTTACAATCTCAAATATCTCAGAAAATGTGTCCCATTTTCTAAAATCTAAAATTTTTGACGGTATTTTAGGATTCGGGGGACAATTTTACATATGAATTGGCTGTTAAATTTTGGGATACCATGGTATTCCATGATTAACCATGGTACAAGTGAAAAAGCAGCCACTAATAACTATTAAATTAGTCATTTTTTACTAATTCATTTTTAGAGAGTATATTCATGCAATTTTCTACAAACGGTTGACTTTGAAAGTTTAAAAAATATGTCGCATGTCTGCTATTCCCCAGTTTGCATGTTCATGTGTCTTGCGTGGTATGCAACCTTACACCCGTCATTTTATTTTTTTAAATGTGTTGGGGATTTGAAATTTTGGAAAAAAACATCTCTTTTTTTTAACACTCTGTAGTATAATGCTATGTGCACAATATCGTATTCTCAAAATTAAACATAAGTCAAAGAATCAACTATTGCTCATTTTTTAGTCTAAAATAAGGAATAACGTGAATTTTCGAAAAATTGCCATATAATCTTAGTAAGCCAAGATATCCACAAAATCTCGAAACCGTCCCGAGAGATAACCTAAATGTTATTAGGAAGGGGTATTACGACTATTAATCTCAACTGCCCTGTGAATGTGTGAATTTGAAATTTTGGAAAAAAACATCTCTTTTTTTAACACCCTGTAGTACCTATCATGCTATGTGCACAATATCTTATTCCCAAAATAAGACATAGGATTCAACAAATCAACTATTGTTCATTTTTTGGAGTAAAATGAAGAATAACGTGAATTTTCGAAAAATTTCCATATAATCGTGGTTAGCCAAGATATCCACAAAATCTCGAGAACGTCCCGAGGGATTACCTAACTGTTATTAGGGAGGGGTATTACGACTATCAAGCTTAACTGGCCTGTGAATGGGGATTTGAAATTTTGGAAAAAAAACATCTCTTTTTTTAACCATCTGTAGTATAATGCTATGTGCACAATATTGTATTCCCAAAATTAGACGTAAGGCAAAGAATCCACTATTGCTCATTTTTTGGACGAAACTGGGGAATAACGACAATTTTTGAAAAATTGGCTTATAATCGTAGTAAGCCACGATATTCACAAAATCTCGATAACGTTCCGAGGAATTACCTAACTTATAATAGGGAGGGGTATTACGACTATCAAACTCAACTGCCCTACGAATGGGAATAACTTGAAATTTCGGAAAAAATACATCTCTTCGTTTAACACCCTGTAGTATAAAGCTATGTGCAATATATCGTATTTCCAAAATTAGACATAAGAGTCAAAGAATTAGCCATTCAGAATTTCGAAAGATTTTCAAAATCGATTCAGTAATTTTCCAATAACGAGCTTTCAAATATTTTCCAAAAATCTAGGTGCGTCGTTTTTTATTACGATCAGTTTAGTTACGATCGTGTGTGTATTTTATCTAAGTGATCATGGTGAGTTATTGTGTTTTTAGTTGCAAATGTAATTAAAGAACTGAACGAAAGTTGCATTTTCCTGTTTTGACAAAGGATCCAATTCGCTATGTATATTTGTTGGTGCAGAATTAACTAATGATCATGATTCAAAGACTAATGATGACTACCTAATATAATTTATATTTAAGTTTGAATTTTTTTAAGAAATCTAACACTTAATAATAATTACACAAACATAATCTTAAAATCAAACATCCAACAGTCCTCCAAAAAACCGCCGTCAACTGCATTTTGCAATAGTAAAAGACAGACAATAACTACGAATCCATGGCAACATATTATTATATGGTTGAATATATTGAGATGTCCCCCAAGTGAAAATGATTATTTTTTATTCTTGGTTGTTTCACTGTTAGTCTAGAATGGGGTTTTTGGGAAGCACCAGGTCTAGTAATAACATAACATAAGTGGTTCTGCACTAATGCAAAAATTTTAAGAAATCATACATTTTGTATATTAGAGCTTCACGGAAGATAGCTTCACGAAGGTTAGGATTTCGTCCCTTTGTATATTTGAAATAAGTTATTGTATCTTTTGAGACCTTAATATTTTTTTTAAATACAATTGTACATACATAAAAAAAATCTACTTACTGAGATATTACACTTCACGGTGGATAGGTTTTTAAATAGCAAATTAATGAACTTAAACTTTTGAATTATAAAACAGCAACACTCTCATCTGCATATAAATTCTAACTGATCAGGTCGACCTTTGATCAGGAATCACATGCATCTATAATGTCGTAAACAGAGGTTTTTGCTTATTTAAAATAATTAAAGGGCCATCCGTTGCTTAAAATTTAAAGCAAAAACAAATTCACGAAGGATAGAATCAATTTTTGTAACATCTATAAATGGTTATAAAAATTATTTCTTTTAATTTTTAATAATATTTTAAATTTGATTCGATTGCTTTGGATGTGTTTAATTTACTTAGTGAACGGATTTTTTAGTATGCTTTTACTACCTCAGATATTTCAAAACATATAGGTTAACCTAGAAAGAGTAACAGTCACGGAGGATAGGTTTTAGACTTTTAAAACATTGTAAAAAATAATTAATTGCGGTTAAAAATCTGGAACCTGAGCTATAATATCTACTTAATTATGAAAGATCACAACACAATAAAAGTGTATGTCAAACTCATTTGGTTTTATTAAATATCACGGGGTAACACCATCGGGGGACATTTCATGAGATTCACCCATATATAATACATAATTTAATACTCAATCAACGCTTTTAATAATTCATAATACTGTTTGCATTTGTTTTATTATTGCTACTGAATTTAAATGTTTCATTCATTAATGAAAGGTGTATTTATTGTATATAATGGTACAATTGATATTTACAGGGACTGTATGCAATTTATTTCTTCATTCGAATTCCAACTGTTTATTGGGAAACCGGTAAAAACCCAACCCCGGATTTTCTCTCGAAAAACACCCAACAACACAATAAATCGTTTCACGTTTTTTTTCGATATTTTTAACATTTTTCAGCTTTATTCTCAAAAGCACTCGTTTGTAACATACAGCTGCTTAATAAGCTTCATTTTGGTTACGATGATGACGACCACGTAGTGGCGACCTAGCGTCTTGTGTTGTAATAAAGTGGTAAAAATTTTATAACTGAAACTTTATAAGTTTTTTAGTTGGAAATTTTTAAAAATAGCTAAAATTACAGGAAGCGCTACTGATACCCGATTTTAGCCGAATCGTAATATTTTTGCTATTTTTAAAAATGTCACAATTTTATTCTTTTTTACAACAAAACAAAATAATATTTTCTGAATTTTTTTTATTTTTGAAGCATGAATACAAAATGACCGCTTACAAAAAACATCCTAAAAATTAATAAATACCCGTTTTTAACTCTCTTAATATAGTAAAAATAAAAAATAAATAAATTTTGTCAGCGACCATCATTGGTTGATTTGATATGGATTGACCAGCGGCTAAAAGCAGTTGTAAAGGTTTATGTTGATAGCGCTGTATCAAAAATATGAATGGTTTGCTCAATTTTGTTCTATAAGTTTGAAAATCAAATAAAAAGTTAAGATCGGCACTGCTTTTAAAGAAATTAAACAACCTAAACAAATAGAGAATTTTATTCGTTAATCTTAAAAATTGAAAGAGTTTGATTTGGAAATTTTAATTCTTTCCCAATATATCCCAAACCTTATACCATCGTCTAGTCTATAATTTGTTTTAGTCTCGGAAAATCTCTATTAATTGTGTAAAGTGGCTTTTAAAGAAGGCTTTAAAAATCACTAGGTTTAATTTCTAACCCAGAATCCACAGAAGTTCGCTAACTGAAAATGACAAAAAAACATAAATCAGAATTTTCCTTTATAATATTGGGAATATTTTTTTAGGTTCTTATAGTATCAGATAGACCCCAGACATACGTGTTTGATAATATATTTACCGAAGATGCAAATCAAGAAATAATTTATAATAATACTGTGAAGCCATTAATACAACATGTAAAAAATGGATATAACTGTACAATATTTACTTACGGGCAAACAGGGACAGGAAAATCGTACACCATGGGAACTTTTTCCCAGGTACTTAATACTTAATTAATATTAAATGAAAAATAAATATTAAAAATTATTTTTAGCCGAATAGAGACGAAAACGAAGGATTGATACCAAGAACATTAGCATCTTTGTTTGAAGAAGAAAATGAATGTGAAATATCTGTTTCATTTATTGAAATATATAATGAGAAAGTATATGATTTATTAACTAATAATAAATCTCCATTAATAGTTAAAGGTAAGTAAAATCCCGCACTAGCACCATAATACGCAAAGTAATAATTGAGTAGGGATGCATTCGATACCGATATCTCGGCGATATTTTAGTTTTTCCAAAACGGATATATCCGATACCGATATATCAGCAACGAGTGTTTTTTTCTCGATAAATCCGTATCGGCGATATACATAAACGTAGCGGTTTGCAATATTGTAATTAATAACATTGTACTCAATTAGTTTTACTCGATTTTAATTAATTATGAGTAGAAAAATACTTGTACTCTTTACTAATAAGTATTTTTTATTTAAAATGCTTATTACCAATAATCACAAACCAAAGAAAATGTATTTCTGTATATTTAGTATTAGGGTGCATTTTTATGTCGATAGTTTGGGATTATCCTGAAAAAAAATCAAAAATATACCAAATAAGGACAAATGTCCATATAATTATATTATATAGGGTTAACCGGGGGAAATGTAAACGATTTTGATAAAGTCAAGTTTAACGGACTACAAAAAAAAGTTTAAAATGCGGAATGTTTTTCTTAAATATGGATAGTTTGTAGTGTAGTGTAAATACTTGGAATAACCCCAAAAGGTTACATGGGAAAAAAAATTGAGTGTACATTTCCCTGGACAAATTAAATTTTAATTTAATTTGTGGGGTAAATGCAAACGAGTAATTGTTTTCCATTTAAACACACGGGTGTTTAAGTGGGGTATTAGCGAACAACCGGCAATACCAGTACACCCTAAATTTCCCACTCTAAATGTCTCGAAAACTGGAAGGTTTTTCAAAAAACGCCTAGACATGTATCAAGTGGGTCAATTTTTAAGCCAAAATGTGGTTTCCCACCCTTAACCTCTGCGCCCAGGAAAAATTTAAATAGGTTGTTGAGTAATACATTAAAATTAAGAAAAGCTTTGTAAAAGACGGGGAACTGTCGGTAAATTCCACAAATTGTTTTTGAAAACGTTCGCCGTGAGTTTGATCAACCGTTATATCACTGTTTGGGTAATAACGGACAACATTTTGAGAATTTATTACAACATTTTTTTCCAAAATGCATTATACTTTTTTTGTAATATTAAAAAAAATAACCAAAACATTTTTATGTTTTTCATTAGTAATATAGTGCGTAACTCCTAAGAATGTTTTTCTCAAATATCTTTAAAACAAGTCTACATATATTAAAAAAATAATACATCAATATGTAGGGATTTCAAAGTCATATTAAAGGATGTATTCCTTGATACTGTTTTCCCATTCAAATTATTAAGAAGGTAGCTCCTGGGCGCAGGGGGTAAGGGTAGGAAACCAAATTTTGCCATAAAAATTGACCCCCTCGATATAAAACTTTACGTGTCTTGGAGTTTTTTCAAAAACCTTCCAGTTTCAGAGAAATTTAGAGTGGGAAGTCCTTATTTTTCGAATTCTTAATTTCAATTGTCTCACCCCCTTATTTTTTTCCTTTTGATCATATATAAAGCCCTGTCAAATTTTAGACTGATCAGATGTTGTTAACCCGTGCCTAACGTAGGACAAAAAGTCAAAAATAGTGAATAATATAAGATAAACGGTTTTTGTGCCGCCGCAAAATAGTTTTAAGTATTTGTAAGTGTAAAAACTTATTTATAATGTTGGATTATGGTAATCCACGTATTTGAATCTGTCGCGAAGTCGTAGTGGCGAGACATGCCGCAGTACGTAATTGGTAAATATCGTTAGCGCTTCTTTTAGTTGTCTATTCTAGGTATAAATCACCACAGTAGGCAAAGAGATGACATCAACTTCTTAAAGAATATCAACTAATTAAAAGCGTTGAAGATTTTTGTTGCTATACTACGGCATCAGACACTGACCGAATAAATGGCGCTTGCGTTTTTCTTGTACAAAAATTGGAACAAGATTTGTTATACCTTGTCGGCATCACATCTACGAACTAATTTTAAAATGTGTCTTTGAAACGCGATTTCAACAGGCTTGGAGCCAAATCGACTTAACACGTTATTAGTCTGGACTTCGAGATGACTATGTGAACGTAAGGAGTAGAAATTACGGTGATTTTACAATTTTGTTTCACCAGCTAGAAATACATCATCCTAGAAAAGACTACAAGGAGTTATTAGAACTTCCGATATTATAATATATAATATATTATTATTAAGTGGTCAAGTATCTTTTCGTATTCCAGGAGCCTTCTGTCAAACCAGATGGATGGCAAACGCTATTTATTGTTTTAAAATATTCCTCTTCAGGAGCCAGTTAGTTTAACGTCGCATGAAATTGAATGTCTTAACGATATTTGTATTTTTCTTACCAGCCTTTACATTAAACTTTAATGATTAAAGCTTGGTTTTGTTGCCCTATAGCTGCTAAAGCACCACTGCAAGACTTTAACTTTTCAGATTTATTTTCTTATATTAACACTCAAAAAAGTTTTGCGCCATCTTTGGTATTTGAGAGCAGAGTCCATTGCTTTGGCGCTTTTCAGCGAAACCGTTACCGTTGAAACAAAAATTGAGCTTGCAAAATCAATCCATGTAGATGAGGGCAATGAGGACGATTCCCAGAATATAAAACGTGTTATACTTGAAGAAAAGATGTCACTTATATCAACCAGCCGCATTCAAAAATAATACCACATTTTTTAAACGATTTAAAATTGGATGTGAGTTTTTGAAATACCATCCGTCTACTTGGAACTCTCGAGAAGATTTTCAAAAGGGATTGTTGATCATCAGAGCTTAATGTTGTCAATGACACGGCCGAAAGAGGTGTCAAACTTATGGAAGAATTTAACATTATTTTAACAAAAAAGGAAGATCAGAAACAGATTCCTTTTGGACTACCGTAAGAAATTTCTAAGCAGGAGTAAAACGGCACTTTTATTAACAGTTTAAATTATATTTGTTTGTTTAGATGAGGATTTTTATAATTTTTTGATTCGCTTTACCATATTTTGTATTTAATAAATTAAATAAATTTATAACTTTGTTGCTTTTTCTTTAATAATAAAAAAATAAATCTTCCCCCAAAACAAGGCCCTTGAGGCACGTCTTTGAGTTGATTGATCAGGCTCAAATTTTACACAGCTTATTATATTCCTATTTAGAAAACTTTTAAGGGGTGAGACGCCCCAAATTTCACAACAAAAAATTTTCATATATAAATAAGGACCACCCTACTGTATATGTATACAGGGCCGTTCATAGCCCCTCGGCCGCCTTTGTGCAAATATAAAAACGCCGCCCCTTTGTTTAAAAAATAAACTTTATATATAAATACCTACTTATACCAATTTCTAATGAAAACAAAACCGTAAATTTGCTCCATATCGAAACGACGAAACATATGAAAAATATTAAATATTTGGTAAGACGTATGTCATATACTATAGTATGGGCAGTAAAGCGTTTTGCGCAAGCACCCTGCGTGCGCCAAACGCTGTAGTACAGCGGCTGTACTGCCTAAACTAAGCCATACGTGTTTAATATTTTTCATCTGTGCCGAGAACACTGAACATAACACACATTTTCGCCGAACGCATTAAACGGCGGCCGCCCTACCACCTTAGTATAACGTGACGGCTTTCCCAAGAAACGCGTCTAGGCTTTCCGTATATTTTATGTAAATTCGCAGCAGTACAAAAAACCAATGGTCGGCAATATAATTAATACTACGAGTGTAGAGGTTTTATGTTTGAAGCATAACTTGAATAAAATGCAACTTTATTTTTTTTATTTTTGGGATATTAACTGATACTTGGATCTAACAAAATACTTCAATAAGTAAAGCTCAAAATGTTTCATTAATAATAAAAATTTAAACAATGCAAAAAGGACAACATGACAAACATGAATATCTAAATAGCGAAAGCCAAAACACAAGATACTAAATCATAGAATAACAATAAAAAATTCATACTTGTAATTTTTAAATATTCACCCTGTATTGAAAATTATGGTTACTAAACCCTACTTATTTGGTATCGTCGTACTCAAAAAAATGTGTACTATCAATTTTCGATGAAAAAAAGTGGGGTTGTTATTTAAGATAAGGGTGCCTAATGTGCGGGGGGAAAATGGTGGGGGCATAAAATTTAAAATTATCATTATAAGAATAAAGAATAAAAAACTAAAGTTTACGTGTCCGAGCGTTTTTCATAAAAATCTTTTCTCAACGAATAACGAATTTTATTCCATAAGTGAGTTCCACACTGTATACAGTGCTTGCAAATCCAAGTCCGACCGCGTTGGAAAGGATGGTTGTTCAATACCCGCGTGAAAAGAATAAGGATAGAATGCCAAACAGAATTTGATTGGTCAGAGCGTCAGGCGTGCGTATTGTAAGCGCCTTCTGTTTGGCATTCTATCTTTGTTATTTTCACGCGTCCTTCTCAAACCGGTCGGACTTGGATTTGCAAGCACTGTATATACCTATATATATATATATATATTAGACTGGTTCAAAAAAATCGAATTTTTTTTTTCTTCAAAGCCCGCATTAAAATATCTTCCTAGTAGTGAAAAAAGAAGCCTGTGAAAATTGTAGCTCTTAATATTAATATTTAGAGGTCGCTCATCGTGAATTTCTATTTTACGTTTAAATAACACAGGAATTCTTTTTTCTTAACTTTGAAATTTTATAACTCGTTTTTGAGTGAACATATTGGAATGAACTCTATATGTTCCCGTTTATAGAATGAGCTGAAATTTTTACTGGGAGTATATAAACAAGTAATAAATATAATTAGAGGGCATGCGTAAAAAAAAATAAAAATAAGGGACACCCTAATATATATATATATATTAGGGTGTTTAAAAAAAACAATTATTTTTTTTCCAATGGTGTTGAGAAATTAATAGTACATTAAAAAACAAAATTTTTGGCGCCTATTTGAGCCCTTGGATTTTTTTTTTTAATTTTGAATTCTTTGAACTTTGGAATGTTTTGTTTTTGCAACACCCACGCGAGAGGATTTATAGGAAATTTTACGCTCTACAAAAAAC